TGTGTCGGAGTGTAAACACAGAACTAAAGGTCGACAGGAAGGTTGGGGAATTAGCGTGATGCTGCAGTGGGAGCCGGGAGACGATAACCAGAACAAATGATAAATAAAGTGTTAAGTTTATATTTTTGCTTGCTCCAGTTGTCCTTCTCTTTCCTCAATTTATTCTGTTTTTCATGGTGAAAGGAGGATGATAGTTCTGTACATGAAGACATATCCCCCTGCTACCAGGGCGTCACCTGCTGCAATGACAATAAATGAACTTTGTTTAGACCGTTCTCTTCTGGTCTGACACACGACGGTTCAGCATTGAGTTCTGTTTCTCTACTGAACCAGTTCTGTATGTCTGACGAAGCGTAAGCACACTGCGGAAGGTTCTGTGTGGAAAATTGTAATTTTGGGACAAGAACTTAGGAGTGTGTAACAATCAAACTCCAGTTCATTTGCCTAGAAATCCGGTTCGTTCTTGGAGGTGTGAGTGCGTAATCAAACTGACAAAAACAAAAACTGGTCTGCTAAGATCTCAGGTTGAAATGAACCCTGTCGCAATCAAGCACATGGGAACGCCAAGTGGACCGGAGACCACGCCAAAATCAGGAAGAACAGCAGGGGATTCTGGGTAACTACAACCAGAATAAACAATGAACGCTGCTATAATATCTCCAGGCAATAATCTTCAGAAATGGGAACTGGAGTGCCCTTGTTCTTCAACCGGCCTCGTAACTCTCTGGCTTTGTGTGTAACGCGCTCCCTGGTTTAGCTTCCGGTGTACTTGATCCAGCTCAGGAGCCGTTTTCAATGTATCCTCCTCGAAGACCTCCACAAGTAGCTGAGAGAAAAATGTTGTCGAATGCGATCCTTCTTTACCTTCACCAACCCAGCGTTGTTGCGATGGCTCCTACTTTCCAATCTGTTGTTCTGCCCGGTCGCCGTAGCTCAGCTTGAATTGCCTGTGTGTCATCGCTCACGTTCTCCAGTGTCGAACTCCATTGGTGGTGGGTAGAAATGGTAGATTCAAAGCGCTCCAGTTTTGTTTCGAGTTTAGCGAATGCCGCATTGAACTCAGAGAGCGATTTCTTGTGGTCAGATAACGTAGCCGTTAGCACAGCTATGATGTTCCCCTCATCTTTTTTCTGCTCTTCCTTTTTGTTCTGCTGGTCATCGTCTGACGAACTGGTCGAGGTTCAAGTGCAGCACTATAGTTACTATTGGATTAACAAATATGAGTGGTAATGTTTGAGGTGGGAGCTTCAGAAAAAGCGTCTACTCCATGTTGCAGTCCAACCGGAAGTCTCATAAGGCTTTTCCATTGAAAGCAAGAACTTATCGATGGTGTTTCTAGACTTTCGACACAAATCAGAGTAATCATGAGCCATTAAGTTTATTGGTGTGAAAAAATGTCTTAAAGTCACGATTAACAGACTGGAGAGTCTGTTAAAAGAGAAGAAAATCTAAATACCTGCCTAAGCATCGCTCTCTGATGTTTTGATCAAAGCCCAACCTGAGGCTTGTTGCACCCAGTGCTGTCTCTTCACATTATGTGCAAGATGCAGTAAGCAAGGATGCCAAAAGCATATTATTTGAATCTAAAAAGCAAAACATATATGGCTAACTTTAAAGGTTAACTTCACTTCTTTTTCAGCGTGGGTTTTTATCTCCCTTTTTGGTTGGACTAACATCGTCCCTGTGAAGGAATTCTGGTCCAGCTCCCCAAAGTAGGTTGTAGTCCTGAACCTCTAAGGGAGTAAATTACCAGAAGCCAAAGTGACTTGGGAAAAGATCAGAACTTTGACGACGATGTTCATAAGTCGGCCACAGTCTGCGCTTTGAGGCCAATCAAGAAAGGAATAGACCCCCTCACAGCTTGAACACCTAACATGACCACATGTACAAGTGTCATACAGCAGCCAAGCCGGGGACGGCAATGATAATAATCTGGAGGGGCGGTGGTTAGACAGCACACACAGCACCAAAGGCAGAAACTGTTCCGAAGCAAAAACAACGCTAGACTCAAATCAGCAGAGTCGTCTGATCTGCCTTTTGATCTTTCATCCGGCCAAGAGATGACTGACAGCCTGACAGCCCGTCTCTCTTTGAACCAGAAGTCTGACCCCTGCTGCACTCGAGTGGGTGAGAATGTTGCCGCGCTGTGACAGTTTGCGCTGCAGGATTTTTTTATTTTTATTTTTTTTAAAACTTCAAACGCAAAATGCGTTGCCTTGTAATTTTGGCCAGTTAAAAAATAAAGAACTTCAACTTTAACCGCCTGGCATCAAGAGTCGTTTTGAGTCGGCTTCTGGTTGGAAGGTTGTTGGCGATTCATTCTGAACAATTTCCAGTCCAACATCGGGGCTGAAAAAGCTGTGCCTGCATGAGATGGGATGGAAAGCAGTGAAGCACAAAACAAAAAAGATTCCTACCCCAGCCAACTTCACTTAGGTTGAGACAGCCACTGGCCATGGACTAATCATTTTCACTGTCCAACACTGATGCAGAGCTCTTTGATCTGCACAGCACTTTCCAATGGATGGTCACATCTTTTACTAGCTGTATAGAAAGATATTCCAGTCATGTAGAAACCAGTCAGTGGTCTAGCTCTTTTAAATGTCATATTGCATGAGAAGAAAAGTGATAGTTGAAAGATTTAGAGTTGTTTGGTGAACAAAATGAACAAAACTGCACAGATTTACATTGCCTTGTAGTAACTTCTTCCACAATTCATCACAATTCAGATTTGTTTGGGTTGAAAAGATTGGAACAGGGACATTCTGGCTGCACAGAGCTGGATATGGGTCGCATGTATAAATTTGGATTTGGGTGACAATTGACTTCTGCATAAACGTGACCTTTGACCAGCCTGTCCCACACCTGGTCCTCAGGGCATCACTGCTTTAGACGTGTCTCAGCTTCACGACACCTAATTCAAATAATAATGTGCTCCAGAAGTCTATTACAGCAACAGCACGTAACTTTTATTGAAAAAAATATCTATTTTTTTCAATAAAAGTTTTAACAAATATGTAAAACAAAACAAATACTTTTTCGCCCCCTAAGTTCATCCGGTTAACATCGCTTACTTCTGATGTTTTAGATTTTTTATTTTCAAAGTTGCAGAGGAAAGTTTATCCATGACTCCTGTAATTGTTTGCTTTAACAAACTCTGTCGTCCCATGATGTCCTGTTATCTTACAGCCGCTGGTCTCCTCCTCAAAGGCTCTGTGATTTGCAACTTTTCCTCCGGGAACTCTGAAATCCTCCAACTTTTTGAGCATTCAGTGCGCACAGATATCATTAGATACGAAATTAATCGATCCAGTGAACAGCATAACGCTGCTCACAGGAGACAATACAGCTTGTAAAGCAATAATTCTGCTGCAAAACCATTTAGCGGGGGGATTGTCAGTCAATGCATCTGCACTGATTCTCCAAATAACACCATCTCCCCCTCGCTCAGTCTTACTCTTAATGTTTGTGTTCATTCTTCAAGCAGCAGCTTGACAGCAGCGTCTCTCCTTATTTCCCTCAGTGGGTCCAAGTTCTGCACGCTTGAAGAACTGCCTTGCGCTGTGAAAACAGTAACCTGGGTGAACTTGTCTGTCAGTCAGAAAAATAGACTCTTAGGAGATATTACACCTCTATACCTGGGTGTTCATTGACTTGGAGCTGTCAATCTGGATCCAGCTGCTGTGCATTTCTATCCAATTTATCACAAAATCACTCAGTCATCCTCTTCCCGTGAACCGACTGTTCTCTTAGCTGGCGAAGCTTGCACACATTGCAGTATGTCGCCTTCGTATTCACAGCAAGATGAAAAGCCGCTTGTCAAATCAAACGACTGAAAATTCGCTCAGTTTTGATGAAGTTATGTAGAAGTTTGGGAACGCTTTTGACTACCAAACAGCTGCTGGCAGAGTCGATATGATGATGTCGTTTTTCCTTCACCTGAAGGTGAATTGTTGTTGAAATATTACAATAATAATAATAACAAATTTATTTATAATGACCCTTTAAATATTCAAATCTCAAAGGGTAGGAAACAGGAACAAAATAAGCATTTGCCATGAATAAAAATACATAAACATTAAATATAAGAATAGATTCATAGATAAAACAGATTGAAACCAGAATGTAAGAAGATGAACCAAACATTTTGTGAAATGAAACGTCTTAAGGCCTTTTTCAGCAGACAGTCAGTGGATAGCGACGCCCTCAGAGTGTCAGATACACGGAACAAACCCACCACCAATACTCTGAGATGTCCCTGCTCTGGTGATCCATAAGAACAGTGCAGATACTCATTACTTGTTTCTTGAAATTGTCATTTCTCTTTCAGGGTTTTTTCAGGGGGGATTTTTCTGAGTCATGGTCTCAAATTTTGAACAGCCTATTTTTATTTTGATGGTTGTTTGCAGGAAATTGCTTCGTAATTTTTTTTATAATGTTTACAAAGGCTATTGACCTCGAACTTTTTCTATTGATTTCTTCTTATTACTCTGTTTTATGGAGGTTGGCAAAACACTGAGATCTCACTTACTGCGCCCTCTCCTGGACGTGCAGGACAAGCGCAGGTAATGCATTTGGTATGAAGCCACCATTACTCGCTCACTCACTCACACACTCTGTGGTTGCATAGCAACACCTTGTTGAGTAATTTGCACAGCAGCAGTTTAAACTTTCGCCATTGTGTCTTAAATTTAAACATCAGCATGGACTGAAAACTGCAGAAAGAGGTAAAACTGCCCTGTAAAGTAAAGAGTACTGGTCTAAGCTCTAAGCCCAGTTGTACACCTCTGTTACGCCAAAGCAGAACGATTTGCTATCAGATATGTGATAACAAATCACTTGTCTGATTTGTTATTGATGAAATGTGTAGGAAGAAGACCCAGCTACAACTAAGGGACAAAACGACAAGGGACACAGTCTCAGAACCAGAATTGCTCTGGGTTTGCTACATGATCACATCTATCGTTTGATTTCTTGTAAAAAAAAAAAAAAAATTGACATTACTTTGCTCTTACTAATTAATTTATTTAAGCTGTTAAGTTCAAATGTACATTTCACACCGTCCGGTCAATGTACATTGACAAGGTTCTGATAAACTTCCCTCCAGTTCAGGCCTGAGGTAAACTCTCTCTGGTGTGGATGCGCTGATGGATCGTCAGATTCCCCTTCTGAAAAAAACTCTTCCCGCACTGGACACAGTTGTACGGCCTCTCAACACCGTGACTCCGCAGATGGGCCGTCAGACGCCTTTTCCTCCGGAAGGTCTTCCCACACTGGTCGCAGATATACGTCCTCCTCCCGCGTTTGGTGACAAGCTTCTTAGGCAAAGCAGGAAGACTCTCAAAAAGCGGTCTGTTCTCTTCGGGTCGGGGGAGCTGATCACCTTGAGTGTCGCAGGCTCTGCTCAGACTCTCATCGTGAACTACGTTCAGGTGGGCGCCACTAGTGTTCTGTGGAATGGAATCAGGGCGAGCAGTGAGAGAAATGTCATAGGATGGTAAATTCACATGTCTAATCGTGAGGGCTTGTTAAAAGCTGAAATTCCTTTCTCACTGCAGCATCGTTAGCATCGTCCAACAAATGTCAGGCTATGTTTCTTTAAGCAAAAAAGAAATGAAACAAAAAAATGCATCAGTCAAACTAATTTTAAATCAAACATCCTGAGTTCTGATGTTCATCAGCAGGAAACAGAAACAAAATATTTTCAGTCATTATCTTCCTTAAAAAATATATAAGGTATGTTAATGAATTGTCTTAAGGTAAATGTTATTTGTTTTAGACATGAGCCACCATGTAGCCCGGCCTTATCTATACATTTAACCAGTGATTTTAAAACACAACAATACAGTTTTCCATTTGACCTTGAGTTGTTTTTGTTTTGTTTTGTTTTTTTGGATTTTTTTTTTGTTTGTTTGTTTATTTGTTTTGATTTTAACCAAAGTGGCAACTTGGGATTTTATCAGTTGACGGACTCGCCTCCTCAACCAAAGACACAGAATAACTGACGTTATCTGCCACTGTCTGTAACAAAAGGCCTGGTTTGCAAAACTTGTGGATTGAGATTTTTCTCACCAGGCTCCTTATTATAAAAATCAATATTATATTTGCTCTCTAATGATATTTTGTGGCACTGCAATTAGGAAAAATGTACATTTCGGTTCAAATTATTTGTAGACACCTATACATTTTTCAAATGTTATACCAAATGATTTAAAGAACAACAAAAAAACACCTAATGGTCAGAAATTTGATCATATATCAAACTCAAATGAACTCAAATAATAAAAAACTTCCTGTATTGGAATCTGATCCTGTATTTACTTGGCATTGGACACCTGTAATTATTGCACTTGCTAGTTCGTCAAAAGTCAAAAAGAATGATACAGGAACAAGTTGAGAACGACTCACGGCTGGAAAATACATCATTGGGCTGGTGTTGTTGTTGCTGTCTTTCACCAGAAAGTCCTCCATGTTTGATTTAGCACTGGTTGGAACAGATAAGCACAAGTCAGAAACAGCAATCACAATACGTTTCCAGAAGATTTGTACATAAACAAATTTTAATTTCAAAAGGCAACATGTCTTGCTTTACAACAAATTTGACAGAAGTAAAAAAAAAAAGGCTGAAAATGCGAAGAGGCACTAAAGTGAAATCGAATACTCTCTTCTACATGATAAATCGTCTTTAACGAACTTCAGTTTGAACTTTACTAGGGAGGAAAACAAACAATAACAGGTAACATGATTGTTTTAAGAATGAAAACATTTAAGGCAAAGTTACACCTAGGTTTACATCACTTCTACTGTAAACTACAGATAGTCAACGACAGAAAAGAAACTTACCATTCACCTGTGAGAGAAGTCCAAAGTGTCCTTGCAGATTAATGGTTTGTTTTGATCTGGCGGTGTTGGTTTCCCAGGGAACCAACAGTAAGTGCAGTTTAAACCATTCAAGTTCTCAAAGTGTTTTCAAAATTTGAACAACGGACTCAGAATCAGCTTTATTCAAATTCAATTCAAAAATACTTTATTGATCCCAAAAGGAAAATAAATCATGATTCTGCAGATTTTTGAACTCAAACAAGAAGTCCGATTTCCACTTTGCTCGTAGTGAGGGCAAAAAGGAGATAGGCCTTAACCATTAGCAACCATGTCCATTAGCAAGATTAGCATGTTTACAGCCAATTATGTCACTATGATGATGGAAAATTCACCAACGTATTTAAAGCATTGGGACAAGGTACGACAAACTCACAATTTGGTTTATTTATCGAGATATCTCAGAATCTGACATTTTACTATTAGCTGCAAGCTAACTAAGCTCAGCTGAGTTATTCACTCACTGGGATGAAAACTCTGAATACTGTAAGAAGGCAAAGAAAGTCTCATCACACGGTGAGGATGCAATGACTGAGGAGAGCTGAAGGTTCTTGCTTTTAGGCATGAGTGTACGGCAATGACATGTAGCAACGTGAAGAAAAATTTATGCCTGACAAGGCATCAATGGCATCAAGTCTGGATGGCAGTGAAAGGCATTTTGAGGACGAAGTACCAGCCTGACTAACAAGATAATAAATCGATGTTTACGTCTGTGTTTCTCTGAGCTTCTAATAAAAAGCTCTGCGGCTTAAGTAATGAAGAGACAGATGGACGTGGTGTCAAGAGAAGGGAAATGTGAGGAGCGAGGGTGTTAAGGATGGCTTCCCGAGAGGCACTGCAGTAGTTGAATGACTGGATACTTTGTTGAAAATCATAGAGTTGTAAAGGAGCAAGAACCATGTGAGCTTGCACAGCAGAAGAAGAGATGGAGGGATAAACGTGTTCAAGGAAGCTTGCTAAGAGGGCTGGAAGGTTGTAGCATTTACATTATGCCACTGATAGACACATTTCATTTTAGTTTTTATTAACTTTATGTACCTTTACCTGTGGCACAGTTTCCTGTTTCCGTTACGGCTCTCAGCCAGTCATAACAGCAAAAAAGACACTTTTGTACTCAAAGTTCTAATGCCAAAATGGACATTACAACTTGGATCAACAACAAAAAAAAAAAAACAGCAAATTTCGTACAAGCAGGGACAATGTTAGTACATCTGCAATCTTAGTAAGTCTGTTTCACTAACACACTATACTGCATGTACTGATAAAGGCCTTGTCATCACTGTGCTTGTTCTGCACTTCAGGTCACAGTGAGACTCTCTTGCTTTTCTGTGTATTTCATGTATTTGTGTGTATGCTTCTGGGTGTTCCTGAACCACAGGCTCAGTGTTGGCTCTGTCACCTCTGGCTGTGGTTGACCGGAGGTGACAGAGCATAAGCTCCCTCTCTGTGACACACAGAGCACCGCTGTGTGCTATGAAACACCTCGTGCTTGTGTCGTGAAGACTCCTGAACAGTTTATGCTTGCCCAGGGACATAAGCACTTTTATGACAGGTAGAATGTGTCCTATTGTGCAGTCTCTGCAAAAAATGGACTGACCAAAGGCATGGCATTTCAACAGGGCCCTTTTCAGACGTTAAAAAGACAAACGAAGACAACGAACTTCGTCCTCCGTTGAGCGCAACGGAGCATCAGATGCTCAAAGTTCTGCTGTGACATTGTGGTGGTCGATTATCGTGTTGGCAGCACAATGCTATCTCATCCAGGACCTTTGACCCCTCCCCAACCCCTTAAAGCTGTGCGCCTTGATCATTTGAGAATCCGTTGAAAGATTGGCTACAGCGGCCAAAGCCCTGGCAGCAACCTCAACTTGTCCACACCTGGCCGTCAGGGCTCCAATTAGTCTGCTTTACTGAGACATTCGGCACAGTGGCTGCTACGCATATTAGGACCTGCCACTCATACGCAGGCAACAACAAAGGATTTCATCAAGGAGCAAAAATAATAATCCATGAAAATGAAAGAAAAGAGGGAAAACAATGCAACCTGCATGACCCTCACACACAGGGATGAGCATGACTGAACTCACTTGGAATAAAGCTATGAAGACACACACACACACACACCCACACACACACACACACACATACATACACACAAGACTGTGCAGACATCTGAGAGTGAATAGATTTGAATCACAACTCATTTTGATATTTAGACAATCCAGTGTATGAGAGGCACCTGAAGGTGTAGCTGTTTGGGTATAATCCATCTGATAACAATTTACCGTATTTATGAGGTTTAGTTTCTCATTGTGCTTTTTACTTATTATTTACCACTTTTATAATTTCTTGTTTTCATTTCAGTGCAATAAAACGTTTGGAACACCCAGACACTGAGTCTGTTTCACTTGTTCATCTGAACGGCTGAAAATGTCTAACCCTAACCCTAACCCAGTCAGGATCAGGTAAATGAAGCGTCATATTGCTTTGCATTAAGCCTGCATAATTGTCCTAAATATCTGATGTCTGGAGGTATTATTTATGGCTATTCATGTGACTATCATGAGATCTCTCAGCTGAACAGCTGCAAAGGAAAAAAGGGTTGAGGTGACAGAGTGCAAACTTTCTGTTTAAAGTCTAAGTTATTATTCTGTAGTTTAGGAGGGATTTTCAGCAGCAATCCCAAAAATACTAATTTCAACCAAAATATTAATTGTGGTTGCTCATTTGAAATTATTTTAATCAGTTTATCTAAGCCAACTGGAGATGACTGCCTTCCTTTAATTAAAACCTGTTGCTCTTTTTTTTATATATTTTGAATCCCGCCTAATTACTCCTGGCAAAATGCGGTGCTTTAAAATAAAAAATAATAATACTTTGGCTCTCACAGTAAAGTCTGACTGAGCTGCTGTGTTAAAATTACAGTGCTGGTTGCACACGGCATGCAAAGAGAGAGCGAGAGAGAGAGAAAAAGAGAGAAAGAGAGCGAGAGAGAGAGAGAGCGCTGCTCGTACCAACGGGTCAGATCAATAGATTGGCTCTAGCGAGACTAATATTACCTAACTGTGAAAATTGAGTAATATCACCAGCGCCGCTGTAGAAACGTTTTATTGATTGCACGGTCAATATCAAAAAGCAAATATCAAAGGCTGCATAAAAACGCTTTAAAGATGAACAATATCGTGTCTTTTTATTTTTTAAATCAGCCATTTAAAAAAGGGCCAAAAATTCAATAACAATCTCAGACTCCTATCAATTTCCAGCAATCCAGGTAGTTTGTTGGTCACAAATGTGTTTTTGCTTAAATGTAAGGTTCCCTTATGGAGTTTGATCAATTTATAAGTTATAGGAAAATGACTCAGCTCTAGAGTTTCTCACCTAAGACAGACTGCAATCTTGAAAAAACAGCTGTAGCACCAAAATGCCTTTAAAATGAAGAAGGAAGTGTTAAAGAGTTCCAACAGTCTTCTGGGAATTTATTGCAGAGGTCCATTGTCCAACATAAAACCAAATACTGTAACTACGGTGAATGAAAACATCCTCATTTCTACACACATTCAGATGAGTTCAAACTGAAGCTCCAGACCATCCAGTCATCTACAACTCATGACTTCTCCTCTTTAACCCTCTGTGTTAGTGTGACTTTTCTTTTTGCAAGTTCATTACTTTTTCTGCGAATATCAAGAAACATTACTTGCTTTGTTCTGGTGTCACTTTGTCACTCTGTTTCTGTCTCGTGTTTCAGTGGCGTAAGAAGACACGATACCTAGGAAATGAGGCGCCAGCATCACCTTACTATGCATTCGACACTGAAGCAAACACAATTTGATCCCCAGATGATCATGTTTCAGTAAATGACCAGGAAGTGATAAAGGACGGAAAATAGGCCTATAAAGGTTTTACAAATGCGTGACAATGATCATGTTAGTGGAACAAAAAAGTTTATTGTTAAAAGTTTTCACAAGGCAGGGCAGCGCAGAGGATTCTGGGTAAATTCAACCAAAACAAGCATGCTAGTCTAGCGCTAGCAGGAGAAATGGTTTGCAGTCTTTGACCAAAGATGAAAGAGAAATCCTACAACAACCAAAATCTCACGCCATTCCACATTTGTTAGAGTTTTGTGAAGCAGGAAGTTGTGCATGTGTCTTCTTCAGAGGTTTTTGAATTGTTTCCTTCAGAGCCCCCACAGGTGAAGATCTGAACAGGATTTTCAAAGTTTCAGAGTCCAGTTTGTTTGACACGGTGTGAAAGTAAACCATGGCAACTGACAATGTCACAGATGTTGCAGTTTTGGTCCCAAATCAACCTGAGTTTATATCACACCGAGACATCAGTCTGAGAAAAATACTCAAGTTCCTTCTGGTATCTTTTGGTCATGGTGATTGGTTCAATCATTCCAACCTGTGTCTCCACAGCACAGAGGAAACGCAGCATATGGGAAAGAAATGATCCAGATGTTTTGTGTGGATGAATTCATGAACAGTCATACTTTACATGGCTCCATTACAACAGGACCTATGGGTTGCTATAGTTGCAGAGCTACAACTTTAGTTTTGCTGCCAAGTTCTTCTGCTGTAATGCTACACACAACATGTCTGACCACTGACAGAGTGGTTTTTGCGACAACTGACATGGCAAAGCTTCTTCTGGATTCATACAATAATCATCTGTATTACGAGTCTAATATGAGTTGCTGGGCTAGAAAAAAAAAAAGTTTTTTCTGCTGAATTGTGTTTCTACAAGAACAAATGCTGTTCAGAATGTCACCAGGCAGTCATGTTGTGCGGGAAACACAGGTCATGTAGCTTTAAGACAACCTCCCTTTGTCTTTTGGCAGCAAAAATGTCTCATAAGTAGAAAAACTGGAAGACATCCAAGGGTGCCCTAAAGCCAAATGTGAACAACACTTTTCTTCTCCTAACAAATGTAAACTTGGACTTGTGTGATGATCTTGTCAAATCCTTAATAGGAGAAAAAAGAAAAAACACATTTGTTCATCAGTGAAAGAATATACATACGAATATTAGGAATTTCAGGAAGTTGCTTCAGTAAGATTACTGTTGCATTCTGGGATTTGAGTAAGGTGACAAACACAATTTTGCTCCAAATGTCTTTCTCTGGTTTTCCGAAAAACAAACTAACACTCTTCCCACTTCATAAAGGACAGGAGCAAACCGAACCACTGCTCCACCTGAACAAGGAAGTATGCTTTCCTTACTAAGCAGTTGTGCAAATTGGGCATATTGTTTTTTATAACATAATTCAGGTCTAGAAATGTGCCACATGGGCTGAAGGAACAAACTAAGTAGTAGAGAAGGAGCGAGAGCTATTATTTTTAGATGCAGCTACATTGAAGCAGATTTATTTTATATTCGGAAGTTATTTTATTACCTAAAAAAAAAATACCAAATTTTTAGTTTTTTTTTTTTGTTTCATTTATTTATTTTATTTTCTTTTTTTAGATAAAAAAAATCTATATATTTTTTAAATTTACAAATGTAAAACACTGTGAATTTCATGGGAGCTCACATAGAAAAGGGGGCTTCTTTTTTATGGTGCCCCCTAGAGTCCTGGCGCCCCCTGCTCCCTCAGCCACAGCCGGCCCTGTGCTGGAGTGAATGCAGTTTGCATTGAGCGGAATTCCTCTTCACTTGTGGTGGATTTAATGTTCCTGCTGGATTTTGTGACTTGCACTGAAAATCAATTTTATGCAGATGTCAGACATGAGTCGATGAAAGTCATAAAAAATACATTAAAGGACAGTTATTAAAGTGTCACAATTAAAAATTCTCTTTTGTTTTGAAAGAATTATAATAGCAAAAAAAAACCAAAAACATAAAAAAAACAAAACAACTTGACTACCTCAGTGCATCCGCTGTATGAAGTAAACTCTGATGTGACGAACACCGGCTGCAGCAGGTAAATGTGTCCCTACTTTTCACAGCAGCAAATGATTTAACTCTGACGACTTACGGCTGCACACAGAAACAATGCTGCTCTGCTAGCAGCCTGTCAGCTGTGTGTGAATGCTGTATTTTTCTCTGACAATGACAGCAGTGTCCAGTCACCTGTGAATCTGGCACTCTATTTACACGTACTGTAGAAAAGCTGCTTTCATGCTGACTTGGCCTGCATGGGCATATTTAGATGCTTTCAAAAGGTTAGGTGATGTGTTGTTTACCTGACTCATGTGGGCCTGGGAATGACATCACTGTTGTTTTTCTTTTTAAAAAAAAGACACAAGGGTAACTTTGGCATATGCCCCTGTTTTGTTTTGTTTTGTTGTTTTTTTATGTTTTGTGTTTTTTTGACATTCTAGCTTCTTGCGGTAGCTGCTCAGAGTCATGTTTTGGCAGAAATATGCCTGTGTTTGTGGAGGAGTGCGGCTGAGGTCTGAGTTTTTTTTAGACCGGACTTTTAGTAAGCAGTGAAGGCACAGATACTGAGCGACCAGGGATCCAGCGACGAGGGATCCAGAGAAATGCAAAAGAACGGTAACAGAACATTAGCTAGCGAGCTGCAAATGAGAGTACGAGACACTTCTGAGAGTCTGCGCTTCAGGAAAATGAAATATTTTCCTATTTTTCACTACCTAAAAAGCCCTAAAAAATTAAGGATGGATTTTTTTTACTGCTCCCCACTACATGATGCAGCGCCACAGCAAATGGTGCAGAAGGTCTGCCAGGCCAATAGGTGGCGCCTTAAAACCGCCAGTGAAAAACACAAAACCAACCAAACTGCAGTGTTTGTTCAAGTTTTAGCTTCTTTTCACATTAGGCGAGCCTTTAGAAAGTGTTCAGATGATGATTATTTTTGAAACAGTTGTAATTGTGTAGCAGAAAAGCACCAAACTTGTACATTTCAATAAAATGTTCTTGAACTCATTTTAATTTATTTTGACATGTCTAGAATTGGCCGAACGTGACATCGATTCATGAGTCTTTAATAGAAATTGGTTACATTATTAAACAAACATCACAATCTAAAATGATACAGTGCCACAAAAGCTGCCAGTGCAGTGAAGCAGTATGTGTGAAACAATCTCCAGTGGAGTTTGAAACAAAATATGTGTGAAGGTTTATGTCTGGTTGAACGATGTGTGTGCCCAGTTGATTCCTTTTTCTTTTGGGGGGGATTTTATTATAATCCATAGAAAATCCAGAAAAATTAATCAATAAATCTATCCTTCCTTCCTTCCATCCATCCATCCATCCATCCATCCATCCATCCATCCATCCATCCATCCATCCATCCATCCATCCATCCATCCATCCATCCATCCATCCATCCATCCATCCATCCATCCATCCATCCATCCATCCATCCATCCATCCATCCATCCATCCATCCAGTGCATTTTGTTTAGTCAGGTCCCCGAGGCATGAGGTCCAAGAACAGTGAAAAGGGAAACCCAGCAGTCCCCTCCAGAGAAACGTCCTCCCTCTCCTCCTGGGGGATCTCAAGGCATTCTAAGACCAGAAGGGATATCTCATCCCTCCAGCAAGTTCTCCATCTGCCCTGGGGGTCTCCTCCCAGCAGAATGCGCCTGATAAACCTCCATAGAATTTGAGTGAAAAATGCCCTAATCAGTTCCCCAGCCTCTCTGCCGACTCCCTTTGATGTGGAAGAGCAGCAGCGAATATTCTGGCTCTTACCGTCTCTCTCACAGGCTGAGTCCAGATACTAACTCTGTAAAGGAAACTGTTTTTAGCGTGCTAACATCTGCAGACACCTTCGTTTTGGTCATGAATCAAAAAGCGATAGCCAAAGGTAAGGCTTTGCGCCAATCTGGGGCACAACGAGAACAGAACTCGTAAATCCAAACGCTCTGCTTTTTCAGCTGAGCTCCTTTTTCCTCCTCTACGGATGAGAGCAAAACTTTTTATCTGCTCAAACAAAGCAGTGATCTGTCTGTCCATCACTATGTTGATCCCACAAACAACAGCGAATGAAACACTAAGATACTTGAGCTCCGTTTAACTTTGCTAAAATTCAGAGCAGAACATAAACACGCAAGTTTCTTGAAGTGAAGGGAATGTGAGGAGCGAAACCAGTCACCTTCTTCAAAATAAGAGCAGGAATATAAGCCCCTAACTCCTCGAAGAACTCTTAACATTTTACAACAAACGCTTCAACTGAAGATGTCAAACTTTATTCAACTGAACAATCACAAAACATAAATAAATTGGTTCTAAAGATTTATTTTTCACAATGAAATGAATTTAGTGAGAGCTAAGTGTGCTAAACGTCTTCAAAGACAGCTAAAGCACTAAACAAAGAAATAGCAGTTAGTGCATCAGCAGAAGTGTGCTCGCCACTGAGTATCTGATAACCAGAGACGGGTGAGAACATCAAAAACTGAAGCAATATTTACATAAAGTTTATTATCAGTAAAAATCTATGCAGCGCTTCCAACATTTTGGTCACCTGGAAAAAGCTCATTTTGGATGTAAATGAAAGGCAGCGGCAATTTTTCAATGATACTTTTGCTTTACCTGAAATTTGCTGTTTTGCAAATGAAATGCAGTCACCCAGACTGGTGCAAATCTGAATTCAGAATATCACATCTCCCAGACATCTCATATGAACTGTCAGCAACTTTAAGGTCTGTGGCGTTTTGGCCAAATCGTTATAAAACTGGTCGATTTTAAAACAAAGTGTTTCCATTAGATTTAACAGAGATAAAGTGCAGACACAAACCAATTCAGCAGAAGAATGAGAACCATCGTTTCTATTGTGAATGATACCTTGAAAACCAACATTTGGCCTCAAGAATATGTCCTCCCGCAAAGATGAAACGACAAAGTTCAAAAGTGACTGTTTGTGCCAAAAATGAGATAAAGAAGATC